CAAACGATTCATACGATTTTAAAGTGCGGCGCCTAGGAACCAATCACATACCAATTGAAAGAGGAGCCATAGAGTTTCTGACTCTCACAGGAAGATGGCTCCCTTCAGTCTGCGAGGAGATGCGACCCCTGAGCAGAAAGCGTTTTGTGTTCTCCACTTCAATAAGAGTGAATCTATCATAATTGTGCAACGTGATTTTTGTCAGCAGTGAACCTCCGACAGCTCAGAGCATTCGGCGCTGGTTCCACAACACTGGATGATCTCCGAAATCACACTGAAACAGCCGTGAGTGCAGTGACACCTGACACGCTCAATCGAGTTTGTGTAAAGACCAGTCCTGCCTTTTATTCACCACACCACACACCACCTCGCCACCCTCCTCCAAACAAAAGAAAATTTTCATTTGTGTTAAAACAGTAGATTTTTGCTTTTATGGACTTGCATGTGTTTAAATGTTGATACTTTTTTGACTTTCACTCATATTTGCCGCCCCAAACTTCCACTTTTAATAGTGTAATATTTTGACAAGGTACTGAAACTTTCACTTAACCCTTGTGTGGTGTTTGTGTTTTTGTTACTCAGTGATCTGGTAAACCCACCGCATTATTGTTTTTTTTTTTTTTTTTTAATCAATACAGCCGTAACAGTTTATGTGAAAATACCAGATGTTTAAAATATCATAAGTGTCCAGCGTAGGGTTCTCCTTTAGCAGCTGTAGCCAGTCAGCAGCCTCTCCATGTTGTCCACCCTGACACACACACACAAACACACACACACACACACACACACACATACAAACACACACACAAACACATACACACAGTGTTATTGTCTATGTTCTTCACAGAAAATGAACAAAGGCAGAGGAAGCTGAGGTTAAAATAATAGCAAATCACATCATTTTTTCTTTTGGTAAACATTGAAAATGGGTCCCACAGACCTGAGCACCACACAAGGGTTAAGTACAGTTTCTCTGCACTCCACACGCCTGCTTTTGGTTTTTGGTTGGTTATCCTCCTGACCTGTTCTCAGGACACACCTTTAGAACCAGTGCAGCTTCTGTGTCTTGGCAGGGACTTCCCAGATCACACTCTCCAACTTCTTGGTGCTGCAGGCAAATTCCAGATACAAATTCAAGACTTCAGAAAGGCTCATGAGCAGCTGGCGTTAATATAACCTGTTCTTAGGTGGTCCGGCTTTCTAGTGCAAGCAGAAACTACCTTCAGAGTTCTCTCCCCCTCTTATTGGCCCCCAACAGCTCAGCATGTCACGTCCATGATTTCTCAGATGGAGTTATGCAGTGAAGCTGGGAAGGAAGATCACACCTGAAAGGTTCTCCTGTCTGCAAAACTCACCCATCTTTTGTGTGTGATGACATTTTGTTCCTCACCACCTCCCCATCTCCTCCCTATTTCTCCTTCACTTCTATGCTCTTCACACTCCAGGGGTACTCCATCCTTCTAGTATAAAGCAGTTCTCTCTCTTCCTGCAGTTTCACAGTCTCTCCTCATAGCCCAGGCATCAATTTTGCACAGTTGCACAGTTCATAGAGTGAAGTTACTGGAAAACAAACTGAAGTTCAAGGAAGATGTGTTTATTTTTAATCACATACACCGATTCACCAATGAATGAATGGGGGTGGGATTCACTGAAAGCACCGAAACCTGTTAAAGTGGTTGATTTAGTGTTAAGCTTTTGTTGTACTTTGACCTGAAACTCTAAGAGCCTCTCATAACTACATAACTTGCATTTTAATTCCACAGTAGATGCCAAATTAATATCTGAATAACAGGCCCTGATTCAGCAAAAACACACCTTGTTGATTATTCACAGGTGACTAGCTTGTCTTACCTGCACTGGAATTTCCTTTATTACACCAGTTCTTAAACTTTCACTGAGCTTAAATCTGAAATCGGAATCGAAATCGGTCACAGTGGCTACAGTGTCTGATTGTGTGTGTGGTCATGCATGCGTGTATGTGCGCATATGTGTGTATGTAGTGTGTTTGAAGGAAAGTTTGAAAGACAAAAAAATGAGGATTTCAGGGAAACACAATTGTTAGATTACAGAGTGGCTTCCCATTTGAATGTATTGGATTCTCCTGTACGGCACACTTTCTTTGTATGTTTTGTGTGTGTGTGAGGTGGTAATTAAAATGTTGGTGGTGATTCGTTGAGATATTGGCCCATTTTATAATTTCATAAGAAATGATCAAATTGTGATAAACAGAACATTAATTTGTCATGAAAATATGCAAAATTTGGTAACCCTATTGGATGAAAGACTAAAAAAGTATAATAGGAAAATGGCTGTCACAGAAAAACTACAAGGAGCTGGAATAAAAAATGGTACCATCTGATTCAGAACAGGTCAAATTACAGTAATATGTGGGTAACTAGAGGACATATGTGACATTTATGAGAGAAATCTGGACTTTTTCTTAGTTTTTCTAAAATTCTGACTTTGAATAATATTAGAAATACGAAGTATAAGGATTAGCAAAGTTTTTAAATATGGATAGGCAGTGCCATGAAGTGGCCTGACACAAAATATGAGCTATTTTTGTCAAACAGAAAAAAATCTGTGGCCAATTTCCTTATTGTACTTTTTCACATCTTTGGGTGTAAATGGATTAGTTCACTATTGAGAGTTCAGTGAAAATCTGGATTTTAACCTACTGTTAAAATGCTCACATTCCTCTCTGTGTGATTCCGTTTTGTATAATAAATGTGTGAGTTATGTGTGTTTCTGTTAGGAAAGTATAGGTCAAAAGTCACATTTTTAAATATGCCATTAAAATACACAGCATATTTAGCATTGACACTTTCCAGGTTACATGTGATTTTTTTTTTAAGACTCTGTTACTATCCAGAGTCTTCCTCTATCTTGTGGTAAGACTAGGCTGCCAAAGTGACATTTTTCTTTGTCGGCTGCGTCTGTACCACAAAGCCAATTCCCGCAGACTATACTTCTGTTGCATTTCAGTGTACTTAATAAAAGAACAGAAAAGCCATTATCTAAAATTCACATATAATAGAAGCAAGCGGGCAGTGCTGAGGTCAACATGATTGGCAGGAATTATCAGATTGATGTCGTACTTACTGATGTTTCACAATTCCACTCATTATCATGATCATCTTATCATGACCCATATCATGACATGCTATAACAGTCACACTGCCCTGTGTAAGAATGTTTTTGTCTGCAGACCGTCTTTCATGTTATCGTTTGTTGTGTGTTGATCCGCATATACCCTTCCATAGTAGACAAACACAGCCTTATTTGCAGTAAAGTAGTTCAACACAGCAGCATTGCAATTATTTCTTTCTTTGGAGCAACAGAGCAGGAGGACTAATTTACATTAGCAGAAGTATAACCTATTATTGAACATATCACTGATTTATTTGTATTTGTTGTCTATTTTCTTATTTTTGTATGAACAATTTTGCTTTGTGAAACTTTAGTACGATGAGAGAACAAATGGTAAATCAGTGCGTGAAATCAAGTGCCGGTCTACCAGCACCTCATTTACTCATCATTTACATAGTGCACGCTCTAATTCATGCAGATGTTTCGGTAGAAAAACAACAGCATTCAGTGGCTTATGAGTGCACTGCTCCCCCTAGTGACCAAACTTTATATTGTTAAAATTACAAGAAAGAATAAAATGTGAAATAAACAATTATTTTTCTTAAATAACCTTCAAATAACATTCAACTGCTGCATTACAGCATGTATGAGATGCTTCTGCACTGTGTTTTGTATTGTTTAGTTTTTGAATGGTGTCAGTAGTATAAAACAAAAGCACAGTGTATGTCGTCTTTAAATGGAACATGGGATAGTGGCAGCATTTGTTTACATCAGTGTGCATGTAAAATAAGTACATCTACTTTAGTACTGGATTGCCAAGAGCACATATTATTAGTATTATTTTTATTTTCTGTTTTAATTCTTATTAGTATTATGAATGATATTGATAATTTATTCAGTTAACAAATCAAGCATTTTTTTGAGGTTGTTAAAATATCACACTCAAATTTACACACACCTCTACCATGCGTGACAACTGTCGGTAAAATTTGTATGCACTCATTTTATGATCATTTGATTGTAAGGGGCAGGGGTCACCTTAAAGGGAAATTTCACCTAGTTCACCTGATTTTCCCCAAACCTGTCCAAATGCATCAGTCTTTAAAACTTCCCATTGATAGATTTATTTCAGATCCAGGAAGTGTCCTCGCTACAAGCTTACTCAGTATCAGTGAAAACAAACAGGGCTGAAATACAAAAATAACTGCTAGGCAGAAGATGTAATATGAATATGACCGGAGGCTGTAAAGCAATGAGCACTGTGGGAGAAACAAATGTGCAAACAAAGCAAAATGTACAGCAACATTAAGTGTCCTCAACAGGCCACAGCTTTCCACACTTTCCACAATATTGCTGGGAAAAGAGAGACAAACACAAGGTGGAGCTACAGTGCCAGTTTTCACCATGAACTCCTGCGCACACTATTTTTGCCATATTGTGAAAAATAAAATACTGAAGTAGAAGATGATGATTACATACGTATATGAATAACAGGCTAGACTACTTACAGATTTAAAATCAGGACCCTTGCAATAAAGTCTATGAAATCAAAAAAAATGTGTGGTCATTATCAAACTTGATTTAAGCTCAACCATGGTTTGTTATACACAAACGCTTTGCTTCAGCATATTTTTAGATTTTCCCTTTTCAGTGTCATCTACTTAACGCTGTCTGGCAATCACCTCAGGTGTGGAATCTAGTTTGTTTTAATTGCTGGTTCATTTTCTGAAGCCTTTTGAAGTCTCTCCAGAGATGCACACGTTATATTCTGAAACACCACTTTTGAGCGCATTTCTATCAGTTCCTCTTCTTGGTAAAGACCGCATTTGCAAAAGGCAGCAAATATGGCAATCGTAGAGCAAATGTGAGGATCATGATCAAATGCACTAAAGAGAAAACATCAGTCAAAGATTCCTATTTATTTTCTTTAGGCATGTAGAAACACAGTTCAGATGTGACCACTTGGAAGCAAAGTGCTAAACCAAGATGACAGTGATTCAAAATATGACAATGAATTAATTTTTTTAAAAAAATGCATCTGATAATACTAAAAATAGAACATAAAATTAATAAAATGTTACAGAAATGCTTGCATGTAATAAACAACATGGCAAAAGACCACACTATTACCTACCAGATAGAGAGGACAGAGGAACATTGCAATAAAAGAGACTGGCAAGTGCTGGGGTAAATATATATATCTGCTTCATTTGTCAATTTAGAACAATAAAATATAGGCCTCTGAGTACCCACTCTAACACCTTTGTCCTAATGTTGCCTGCAAAAATACCAAAAAAAGTGACATATCCAGACATTTCTTTAGAAAGTACACATACTGAGCATTATTTTACATCTGAGCAAGACTGGGATGTCACTGTTAGTTACAAACAGTTATCAAAAAGAAGCCTTTCAATGTCATTTCTCCAAGATGCTTCAATGAGAAAAAAAACAGCTTTCCTGTCTCAAAGCTTATTCTCATATATATACCAGTATATATATATAAAAAATAAAGATTAAAAAAAAAATAAAAATCACTTAAAATATACACCAAGAGATGAAACAACTTTAAAATACAGAAAAAAAACAAAAAAACAAAAAGCATTCAAAAATGAACTTAAAACTCATAAAATGAAAGCTAAGAACGTTGATCCTTTTTTGCACCAACTGGTCAAAAAAAACAAAAACAAACAAAAATAAAAACGAGAGAATGTTTCCAAGCCAACACATGATCCCTCCATGCTGCAAACCGAACACTTCTGAAAGGGTGTCTGGACCCCGAATTGCTACATAGAAGGGGAGGTGGGGAACTGGGGACGGGCAGTGAAACAGTGCTTGGAATGAACTGACTGGACTGTACATACAGAAACCAGGGGTGCCAAATAACTTAAAATAACTTAGGGACAGGTGTGGAAGGGGTGCGGTTATTTCTTCCCTCTGCGTGCGCGTGGTGATGTGCGTTTTACAAATTACTGGAACAATCAGTGCAATAACTTGGACTTTGGGAGCAATTTCAAGAAAGAACCAAACAAGCCAAAAAAAATGAAACAGAAACCCCAAACGAAGGTGTGTGTGTGTGTGTGTGTGTGTGTGTCTGTGTACTGGTTTATTAAGGGGCTAAGTATGTGTGCGTGTGTGTTGGTGTGTCTTGGCGAGTAATGATTGTCTGTTTTCAGTTCAGTGTCTCTACAGCAGAGGAGCACGCTGAGAGCTGGAGCCCTCCAAGAGGTCGGCGGGGATCAAGAGGTCGCGGTGGGGTCAGAGGTTCATGGAATCTAGCAGGCTTCCATCTCCAGAAGGGGCCCCGTAGCTGCTGCCTTTGCTTTGCACGAGGAGAAAGCGGCTCGTTTTCCTCCTGTTTGGGACACACACACACACAAAAGGATGAGATCACTGAGGGTGCAGCAACAAATGACTGCCAGTGCTCTGTGGAACTGAAAGTTCAGTACCACTTTTTCCTTTTCTGACACAACAGTGATGATCTGAGACTGAAGCCAGGCCTTCAGTTTGGACCATAAATGTTGAAAATGAGAAACCACTTCTATACTAATGCTAATTTCTGCTAGCACCCCTATGTGTTTCTAGTAGTATGTTAGCACCAAGCTAACATCAAATCACATGAACATTTCTGGCTGATCTAGATTTAATATGGATATGTGAAGCTTTTAAAAAGACATTGCATGTTTCATTCCAAGTATGTGACGTACTGCCTTCTATTTCTAACTAAATGAAGCTTGGTTTAACTACAGCTCCTTCACAGTCAGTGAGGTATCAAGAACTTCCAGAAAGACCACAGTGATATTCTTCTCATGAAATTGGTCCCAATCATTGTAAATCAAAATGTAATGTCATTCCACGGCCGGTTCCTTATTACATGTTAATCTGATTAGGCCAGGGGTGCTCAGTCCTGGTCCTAGAGATCTACCATCCTGTAGAGTTTAGCTCCAACCCAAATTTAGCAGACCTGAACCAGGTAATGAGGGACCTCAGAGACGTCTAAATATTAGAGCCAGGTGTGTTGGCTCACCAAGACCAGGACTGTGCACCCCTGTGTTAGGCTTTCAGACCAGTCCTAAACTAAGAGAGGGCGAGGTTGGTGATATCTGCCTAAATCAGGGGTTTCAAGCACTAAATGGGCCACACTGAAAAATCTCAACAAATCTGTGGGCCAGCTGTGTTTTTATTTTATTTTTACTTAACATTTTGCCACAACCCCAACTGGCCATTGTTCATTCAAAATATGCCAAAACTTCAACAGCAAAAAAATAGGCACTGAATACTTCAACTATTTGAAAATAATTAACAAATTATCTAAAACAAATTGTTTTAGATAAACCAATAGACTACATTAGCTGAGTGCTGTCCCACAGATCGTTGTTCGGGGAGGGGGTGGAGCACACATTACTGTAGTGCAGTGAAATGGGCTAATATTAATAAAAAATTAAAATTTCCAAATTGAATTGTGTCACGAGCCTGACTTGGCCCGCTGGCCTTGGGTTTGACACATGGGGCCTAGATACTATGGAGGATAACGTTACTGATTGGATAATTTTGTGTTTGGCATACAGTTTATAACCAAAACACAACAATGAAATAAGAGCATTATTGTAATACTTGCAGGGTTCAAATACAATATTCTACTTTATTAGACAGAATATTATGATTCCATTAAATTAAAAATGAACTAAAAGTTATACGTGTATTTTTTTTTTATTTTTTTTTTAGAAATCATAAGGCTGAGGGGGTTCCCCACTAGTTACCAAATACTGAAACCTTGAGTATTGGCTGACGTTGTTTCTTCTTTAAAGACTATTACACTTAAAAATGATTTATTTTTAACTGAAGCACATCAATCATAAGCATCTAAAATTAGGCTATCACAATACTTTATAAATATATCAGATGACATAAGTCTGCATTAATAAAATCACAACCCCATGCTTTCTGAACGCTACAACTCTTACAACCCTTACATACACTGTATGTCCAAAAGTACTCAAACAGCCCTTCTAATTAGTGAATTTAGCTACTTTAAGATGAACCCACTGCCGATACAGGTGTTCAGTTGGCACACATAGCTTATGTAATCTCCTAATCCTAATTGTTAGTGTTTTGAGGGACTTTTCCAGCAAGCTAACTGAAATCCATGGACTACTGCCAGTGGTCCATCGAACAGTGTTGACGAGTGCACCATTGCCCCCTATCCTGAGCTCCGCGTTCACAAGGTGTTTTAGTTTAGAAGTTTTACACTCTGTCTCCATTATAATAACTCACATATAGCTCAAAATGAACTCCAAAACGTCTTGATCATGTGGGGCCCCCAAAGACTACGTGAATAAAGCACCCTGCAAATGACATACACTGCAGTTTCTGTTGTCTATCAGTAATATAAATTCTGCATAGCTGAATCATTAATATGTAAAGAAAGTCATTCAGATTGGACTCATGTTTGAAATATTCCGTTCTAGAGAAACAAGGTGGAATTGTGCAGAGTGGTGATGATAGGAAGCAGACATCCAAATACTTTAATCCCTCTAAAATCTACATTACAAAAGTCATTACATAAAATGGTTATGAATACACTGAGAAATTATTTTACTTAATCATTTTTTAAAGTCTATTCATGGAGAAGTTCATGCAGGGCATTAAAAAAAACAAAAAACTATTTTTCACATTTTTACCACAATTTTAACACCATCATAAAAATGGTGGTTTTGTACAGAAAGTAAATTGTCTATATTTGTGTTGTAGACATCATGGCCCCTGGTTCCTATCACCACCACTGTAAAGAAATGTGTAAGTCAGAAAATAGAGAATACAGAAACTGAAAAATTTCCTCTTTAAACACAGATTCATATTCACAGTACAACAGCTATAACCCTTTGAAAAAAATTTGGACATTTTTTCCTTCCATCATGAATTATGAAGTAAATCGAACATCATGCTCAATTTATCATGGAGCTGGAAAATTCAGTGGCACGACTGCTCGTGAAGTCTTCAGCATGGAGAAGCTTCAGAAAGGTGAAGGACAGGTTAACTGAATGACTGCATGTCTCGTCCAGAGCATTTGGCTACAAAAGCATTTCAACCAATACAACACGGCCACTCCATATACCATAACCCTGACCCGCCTATATTTGTGTAATATTTTAATGAAAAACTGGGGAACATTATTCAGAGCTTTCATTGATGTTCCCCAACCTTCAAATTCTAACACTGCACAGAAAATCATCCTGACACAGCATGTTAAAACCGATCAGATACCCCACGTTTCGTAAAGAATTAAATGCTACAAGCTCCATTTTGGTTATTGACAAGCTTTACGGACGTGTTTCAGAAGCGCATCAAATGGAATTCCTGATCAAAGAGAGACAATACAGAAGATCCCTCGAGCCAACGTCCAGCTAGGAGTCACACACATGCATACGCTCCCCTACTGCTGCTTTACCACATGTGGATGACAGGCATATCCAGTGAGAGCTGACCCCAGTAGAGAGAGAGAGAGAGAGAGAGAGAGAGAGAGAGAGAGAGAGAGAGAGAGAGAGAGAGAGAGAGAGAGAGAGAGAGAGAGAGAGGGGAATACTGAGAGAGAGAGGGGCAGTGACCAAAGCCTCCCTGGAGCTTTTATTTACCTCCTCCGTCCCTCTTTTCATCCCGCCACCTCAAAGCTCCTGTGCAGCCCGTGCCCTCTTTCCTTCCCCGAGCACATGAAAAGAGCTCTGCCTGCCCTTCCGGCCTGGGGCAGGCGGAGGGGGGTGCTTGGGGGAAGAGGACAGAACGGGCCAGAGCTTCACACGGACCACCGACACACAACACACACACAAGCGCACAAACGCCAGGATTCAAGAGCTACTCCCCATTAGAGCTGAGGAATGCCCCGGCCAAACTCGCAGGAAATGAAACGCTCCTCTGTTTACCAGGTCCAGCCTCTCTCTCTCTCTCTCTCTCTCACCCTCACTCTGTCTGTCTTTCTCTCCTCCTCACTCTCATACTCCTTGCCTTTCCCACATTCTCTCTCTTCCTCACTCTCACTTCTCACGTCTCTCTTTCTCTCTCTCTCTCTCTCTCTCCTTGGCGAGTTGAGTCTCTTTGAAGTGTGTGAGGTTAAGATAACTGGCACGGCCTTGCGTCCCTCAATCGGCCCGTTCACCTCCCAGGGCAAATCAAAGAGCCCGCAGCTGGGGCCGCCGACACACCTCCCTCCCTCTCTCTCTCTCTCTCTCTCTCTCTCTCTCTCTCTCTCTCTTTCTCACTGGAGGTATGGATTTCTCTCTGGTGCTGCTCAGAAAGGAAGAAAAATTACTCTGAAAATAAGCTAAGTGAAAGAGTCCCACATGGAGAGGGAGAGAGAGAGAGAGAGAGAGAGAGAGAGAGAGAGAAAGTGAAGGGAGAGCAAAAAAACAGGCGGAGAGAGACTTAAAAAAGGGAGAAATGGGGAGAGAGAGCAGGCAGAGAGAAAGAGATAGAAAGCAGAGCGAGAGAGTACACATAGATAAAGAGAGAAAAGGCAGAAGGAGAGAGAGAGGGAGAGAGAGAGAGAGAGAGAGAGAGAGAGAGAGAGAGACGGACAGAAAAAATGCAGAGACACTAAAAAAGAAATGAGGGAGAGAGAAGGCAGAGAGAAAGAGAGAAAAAGGCATAGAGAGAGAGAAAGTGAGGGGAAAGAAAAAGAAAAAAGGCTGAGAGACATTGAAAAGTGAGAAATGGAGGGTTGAAAGAAAGAGCAGGCAGAGAGAGAGAGAGAGAGAGAGAGAGAGAGAGAGAGAGAGAGAGAGAGAGAGAGAGAGAGAGAGAGAAGGAAACAGCAAATTTGTTGATCTTTTCTGCTCCATCTCCTCTAAGTGAGCCAAGGCCACAGGAGACAGTGAGGGTACCTGACCAAACCAGCTCCATGCGCAACTGCACAGACGCTCACTCACTCACTCTAAGCTATAGGAACACATTCAATAAAACAAAGACAGAGACAGAGTGTGAGAGAGAAAGAGAGAGAGAGAAATAGGAAAGAACAAGATCAAAGTCCGTATGACATCACAGCCTGACTCTGTCTGAATAAAGCACCAACAGTGAGTGCTGCAAGCACGAGAGAGAGTGTGTGTGAGCATAATCTGGGTTGTGTTAAGTCCAGCCGAGTGGAAAGCCCCTCTCTCTCTCTCTCGCTCACTCTCTCTATACTGACGTGGTGCCAGTGGCCTGGTCTTGCAGCGCTTTGCGTTTGGTTTGGCAACGCCCTGCGAGGCAGAGGCGAGTCCATAAAGTCAAATGGCCGCTATGAACAGTTCAGTGCTCGGGGGAAGCCGCTAAAAAACTGGGGCCCAGCAATAAAACAGCACCTGGAAGAAAATGATGTTTAAAACA